CCATTGCTGCTAGTGAAGCCCCACCCTAGCTCTGGGGATCAAAGGCAGGGGGCGGAGATGAATAGATGTGGCAGACAACTATTCACCTCCCTGCCGGACAGACTTGTTGAGGGAGAAACTTTTTGCCGGGGCTGCCAGCGCTTCTAACTAAGGAACAATTGATTTAAATACGGAAGGTTTGTCGTGCTTGGGGAGCTGGGTCAGAACAGTAGGTTTCTGATCTCCACGAATGAGAGACGATGCTGAATCGACGGTCGTTGCGACCATAGTTTGAGAGAAGCCTGCTTTTTATAAAGGCCGCATCTTGAAGGTCAAAGCGGTGGGTGGTAGCTTTTGTTTTATTTTTAAACTCCTCCACCGTCTCCAGGAGGCTATTAGAATTCACCTAAAGGCAGCTCGCGGGTCAAGGTAGGTCACTCAGAAGCTTCCCTTTAAAACACTTCCACATGTCTTCAGTGGGAGCAGCGATCTGCAAATCCCAGAGGGATCGTAACGACAGGTCAGCCACGGTCTGATTTGCTAACGTGCCCTTGGAGAACCTCTTCGTGGCAGAGAATTATATCAGAGAATTACATCAATACTTATTGGATTACACAATGGCGGAAGAGCAGGTAAAGGAAACCATGTTAGCAGGGAGCAGGAACTTTGGTTACAGCATAGATTTGGATAATTGGTAAGACCTATGGGAAAGAAACAGAAAATTAACATTAGCCACCATGTATAAGGAAAACCTATACCAGTTGTTCTATGGATGGCACACCCCACTCACAAGATGAGCTAAAATTAATAAAAAACTTGTTCTGACCCCCCCCCCCCAATCGTCCCAGACAAATACACACTCCGAGCCAAAGATAAGTTACGGCATTTAATTAACAGACAGACAGGTCCTTGGCAGCAAACCGGCACAGATAAGCCGTGGTAGCAATCCATCCTACCAAGCTCACAATAATGTTCTCTGACATTAGTTCCTGCATTGACTTCTGCAAAAGGGCGTGTGCACAAGCAGTCTTTTTATAGTCTCGAGAGGAGCCTAATGACCACCAGCTGAGTGCAATTACCTCCTTTTTTGGAGTATAAGATGCACCGAAGTATAAGACACATCAAGAAGAGGCAATTTTTTTTTAAAAAAAAGTTTTTGCACTCTGCAGACCTCTCAATTTTTTTTTAGCTAAAACAGGCGCATTTTCTTTTTAAAAAAGGGGGCATGAACAGACTATAGGAGGCTTGTAGAGTGCTCCTAGGGCCTGGGGGTGCAAAATTGAGCAAAAAAATGGCACATTTTTCGCTCATTTCTGCCCTCC